AACATATAAAGCACAATGTAAACTACATACACTGACCAATGGTCAAAGAATATTTTACTTTTTGCCACACTTATGGCATTCTCAAGTGCTGTAACAAGATAATACTAGCATCGTAGCTAGGCATTAGTGGAATAAGATATACCAATAGTAAGTGGAATGCCATATAGATTCTAGGGGACTCGCATTGTAGTGAGTGCACTGCATATATTCTAGGCTGACCATTCTGCCATTTACCAATTTTGAATAAAAACACTTTAATTTTTCAGTAGGATACAGTTTTTCCTTCAATAGTAGCAAACAACAAACTAAAAACATAGAAGCCACACACAAAATTCTGAACGAGGCCCTGCTGGCTTTCTCAACAGCATGTCCCCATCATTTTTCTCTGAATAGTACGGATTTGAATTGAATCCCACCATGACACTATTATAAAAAAACAGCCAACATATAGCAGAAATACAAATGTATGCTATTGCAATTCACAAAAATCTGTAGAAAACTGGCTATATATACCTTAAGTTTATATATTTAGAATTAAAAATAACACTTTTAAAAACAAATTATGTGCAACACTAAAAATGATCAAACTAGTAATTTTTATGATTGTTAAGGCCATGATAATGTATGTTTTACTGTCAACATCATTTCTTTGTTGCCCCAGTCACTATTTTTTGTTTTTAATCATAATCGAATTGTAATTATTTGCAGCCAACAACATTAAAAATGTCTAGTATAACCACTTATATATTATTAATTAAGATACGACTTCCTGACGAAAGTTAAAAAGCATTTCTGTTTGATGCAAGAAGCAGTGATCTATATTTATTCTTGCTGAGATGTATAGACCAATCAGCAGTAATCTTGAATAAGCTACTTCCAGAATTTTAAAAGGTTCCCTGATTGGCTAGCTGATGAGATATATTAACCATAAATAAATTACTTCTAAAATGTTGAAAGGTGTTCCCTGATTAGCAAGCTGATGAGATTTATAGGCCAATCAGCAGCAAGCATGTACTACCTAATGGGTCATCTGTGATATTTTTTTATATTCCCCGCTGTATCACATTTTATTTTCCTACAGTACATTCACCATCAAATTTTAGCTTTGTTCGTAATAAAATTAATAATTTACTTGTCTATGTGTGATTACAGAACTCCGCAATCCCTCAGCAATTTTTTATTAATACTCTTAATAAGACAATTGGACGTCACAAAAACAACTCGCTAAAATAGTTTAAAAGTCGCATAAAATAATTACTTTTCTATAACTAAAAATGAGCATAAGCATACTTATTTACTTGTCTACATTTGTAGTTTTATAATAAACATTGATGCATTATGTTCAGAAGCTGCAAATCGTATGTAAATTAGTATGTAATTAATTTTTCTGACAAATTATTTAATTTGAGATAATGATATATATATGGATACACCATTTTGGATGATTTTTACGCCATTTTGTGTTACAAGTGGAATGAATGCTGATTATTAACCTTTTCACACAAGACTTTCTCACCCAAATTTTTCTGCATTTCTTTCTTATATTCTTCAGTATTTCTGGAAATGAACCGTAATTTTGGAGCAAACTGACTAAATTTGAGTCAATTTTCAGATTTTACTCAAAAAAGTGGCTATTTTTGTACCAATCTTCTGAAGGAAAGTGCAGACTATAAAGATGACTATTTTGTGAATTGTTCATGGAAAGAGGGAACTGATGGTGAAAAGGATAAGCATATATGGCTGAAGGCTTGTCGTCTTTAAATTGATGGTAGCCCTTGATAAAGAGACTACATCAGCTGCATTGTTCAAGTTAAGCTGTTTTGTTGGAAGCCAGGCGAGCTCCTATGTAAATGCTGAAAATAAAAAAAATACAAAAAATTATTAACAATTTAAATAGTGTCAGTGTTTTCCAACAGGACAACTGGAAAAGTTGACCCCACAAAGTACGCTAGCACTAGATATTTTGATAGATGTGTGAAGTCACAGCACAGCCACTAGGGTATTTGACAGTCAAAAATCAAATTAACTTGGAATCGTGAGACAAATGTTTTGAATACAAATTAGTCTGAGGTTATTTTTTCTAGTGTCTTTTCATGTGCATAGTGTGTGTGAGAAAAACTAAGTTTTTACATTATGAGTGTTACACATCTTTATCAATCTTAGCTAAAACTTCAGCCTGGGTACTGGCCATCTTTCTACTGGTTACTTTCTACTGGTTTGAGAATTTATTCTCATTAACCACATAAATTTTTT